TATTTTAACCTGATTTTGCCCAGACACGCTAGTAGTATGGTGAAACAGACAAATGAGTTTACGTGGATCCAGTGCTCTTAGTAATTACCCAGGACCCCAGACTCCGGTGTGAATACAACTCAGTCTTCCGCAGCCCTAGTCCTCCACTCAGCCTTCCCTTGCCACCCCTGACCCAAACCGGTAGATACTTGGCCTTCGTTATCGTCCCAGCAGTTCTCTCAGACTAGGGTGCCCTTCCCAAGCCCACTTTAAAACCTTGCTCTTTTGTGAGCCTACTCGATTCGCCTGTAGTAATTATGCCTTTTCCAATGTCTCCTTTCCCTCCTCTAAATGTATCTCTACCATTGATTTGACATTTAGCCACTTGGCCTGTCATCTCAACCATGTAGTATCTTTCCAATATGTCTGAAAGTGCCTGAATACCTGAAACCGGCGTGGTATATCATACATGCTGGTGTGTTTTCCCTTGCTTCTCCGAAAGATCTTGAGATATAGTAAAGCAGATGTTATTGCCATTATAATATTATTTCCATTTTTCAGATGATAGCAGTGAGGCTTAGAGATGTTAATTAGCCCATCCAACTAAGAAGCAGCAAAACTGGGATTTGAACTCAACTCTGTCTACCTCCAGATTCGTAATTATTTTCTTTTACTTTTTCTTTCTTTCTTTTTTTTTTTTCCAGAGACAGTCTCACTCCATTGCCCAGGCTGGAGTTCAGTGGCACATCTCGGTTCACTGCAACCTCTGCCTCTGGGTTCAAGTGATTCTCCTGCCTCAGCCTTCTGAGTACCTCAGATTACAGGTGCCTGCCACCATGCTTGACTAATTTTTGTATTTTTAGTAGAGACGGAGTTTCACCATGTTGGCCAGATTGGTCTCAAACTCCTGACCTCGGGTGATCCACCCACCTTGGCCTCCCAAAGTGCTGGAATTACAGGCATGAGCCACCACACCCGGGCCAGATTTGTAATTATTTTCTAGAATAACTGAAATGGCAAAGAGGTTTGCTATATCTCAAGTCCAACTCCAAGTGATGGGCTGTAGCTGCACAGAGTACTGCATGGAAGAGCCAAACTCAGGCTCAGCAGAAAAGCAAACCATCGCTGATAAAGGAGCCAGGCCAGCCATTGGTCCAGCATTTAAAAGAAAGAGCACACGGGCCACCAATTTGCCAATCCCTGTACCGCACTGACTTTCCTAGGCTGGGATAGAGCTGATTATGAGTGTGTGTATTCCACAGCACTTAGAACATAGTGCTTAACCTATAGTAGACGAGAGATAAGTATTTGTTGCTCGATAGCAACATAAACATTTTTAATGAGGCACGGCATCACAGAAATTGCAGGAGCAGCAGACAGCCACTCAGGGAGTCATAAGTGAATAGCTCTTCTCTGGGCCAGCCAAGCAGCATTCACGAACAATCTCAAACTAGCATGCATGCAAAATAAAGTGTGAGGCTTATGGAAAATTGTTTTATTCAAAACACTGTTTATTGATGTAAAAAAAAATCAGTTTCACTTCTGCATGATGTTAATACTTTCCCTAGAACTACTCAGTAACAGAGAAAACCCATACACCACACAGAGCACTGCCTCCACGTACCCTGCTCCTGGTCATATTTAAGGTCACTCCTCTCCTCTGGAGCTTTCCCATGGACCGTTTTAAGCTCTGCTCCCCGCTGCCACCTCCATTCCATCAATTAATGAATCAAAAGGGAGAGAAGGTGTTTCTAGCATGTACTGTGGTCAATTACTAGAGGAAAAAGTACCAATTATGGACACTCCTGCAGGCAGAGCATTCCTTCCCTCCCCTGCCCTTTGGTTTTCACCCCCAATCTGGGCTCGCTACTTCCCTCCCAGACTGTCTCCGGCCTCAGGCTGGGAGTTCTCTGTTTCCATTTCATCTCTTTTCCATACCTCTGGATGGGGATGTGTCCAGGAACCTAGGCCAAAACCAGCAAATTTATCACCCTGGTAATGACAGCAAGCTGCATGCTGAGTGAATTCTGCAATCCCCCTCAACTCCTTCTTTTGCCAAAACCCATGGAGCTGCAAGATCCAGCAGGTTACAGAGACCGTTATCTGCACATGAAGAATAGCTCTGTTAGAAAATGCAATTAGGTATATCAGCCATAAGGCTATTTTTGGAAGCTTGTCTGGGGAAATCAAAAGAGGTTGCCATGTGGTGGGAGATGTTAGTCAATTCACCAAAACTGAGTATCACTAACCACATTGTAAAACAATCTTTATCCATATGTAACATTATAAAGACCCACTTTTTGTCCTCTGGGTGTGCCTCATTGTTCTGAGACTATTTATGTTTGTGGTGGCAAAATCCCCTCTTCATTTACCTGAGCAGCTCCTCCTAAACCAGGGGCGGTAAAGAATCCTTAACCCTGTCATTCCAAAAACAAGCTTCCCTAGGGCTTCCTAGGGCTTGGGAAACAAAGGGTTGAACACGCCTACTGTGGTCAAGGCATGGGGTTGGGAAGCAGAGACTTCAGGAGGCATGTGTCAGGAGGCATGTGGTCCATGAGGCCCATCGTCAGGAAGGCTTATTATTGAGGAGGCTTATTATCAGGGAGGTAGTTTTCCATGGGGCAGCGTGACCCACTGTATGCTCTAAAGGAGCGAGCCACTGTCCAGGCTCATTAGAAAGGCAGTACCCAGGCATATGAGAGGCTTGTGGTATAAGGCTGTGCCAGATACCCAGGAAATAGGCAGGGTACCAAAGCACCGCTGATGCTCCATACTGCAGGATTAAAAAGGCTTTGAGGACCCACTCTAAATCAAGAAATGTTTCCAAGTGGTGTGTTGGAGCAATAACTCCTTTAATTTGGGGCATGCATGTGCTGTTCTGTCTTAAAATTCAATTCAGCAGTGTTTGATGCAGCCTAGAGTCTCAGTCCAGCAGCAGCCTATGTCCCCCACTTCTTTACTCTGCTGATATGGACAGTAAGGGTCAAGTCGCACCGAGGGGGGAAAAGATCCATTTGGGGCTGTGGCTGGCTCAGGTGTCAAGTCATTTTCCCCTCTTGGATCCAGGTTCACCAATACTCATCATTGGGTCAAGTTTCCACTTCTCCAAGTCCCCCTCAGCACACTTCTGAAGTCCCCACTCTTCCCTCACATGGAATAAGGGTGCAATTATTGCTTAGGCCCAATGCCTGCCATGCTTTCTATGCATAATCTACTCCAGTGGGGTCACATGGAAGCCAAGGCACAGACATACAGGTGCCCTAGACCCTCACCCAAGACAATGATGTGCCTGGAGACAGTGGCCTCCAAGATACCACTTAAGGACTGGTGATGTTTGACCTACAGAGAAAGCAAGTCGAAGTAGAGAAATCAATCATTGCATCCTCAGATGTGTGAAGGGCTCTCACTGACAATGACAGAGGATCTTTTTCTGTGCTGATCTGAGAACAGGCCAGGCAAATAGCTGAAGTATAGGGAAGGAGGTGCAAGTCCACAAAATTAATTCCTTATATATAACTTAATGGAATACTTTGAATACATACAAGTCAGAAGAGAAATGCCCATTTCCTTCTGTAGAAGGGATTCCTAAATTGGGTGCAAAGTTGAACTGAATGACCTCTGCCATCCCTCCCAGCCATAACATGCTAGGAGTGCCCTAGAACTCTCCATAAGTAAAAAAAATCTCTTGTGACTGCTTCCTCGTCTACTCATCTTTTGAATCCTCAATTCAGCTATACCCTTGGAGGTATAGCATGTACTTATGTGAGAAAAGAAATATCTTAGACAAGAAAGCAATGAATTTTCCAAGCTTTCTTGGAATCCTCCAGTGTCCCGATGACATCCCCCCAACCAAATGGGACATGCAATGCAGACAACACTGACATTTTAACAAGTGTACTGAGCCCTTGGACTTAAACAAACTCCGGGCTGCTGTTTCACCCATCCTTCAAGCACGAAATCAAGGAATTTTAGAGATGGAGGAAGCCTGAAGGTCATTGCCTCCCAGATCCTATCCAGGGCAGGAATTCTCACTCTAACAGCCCAACAGATGGTCACCCAGTGTTTGCTTGAACACTCTCAGGAAGGGGCTCACTGCTTTGCCAGAAGATTTAATCCATTTTGAGACAACTTAATCCATTTTGAGACAGTCCTTCTTGAGAGCTATTTCTTCCTTGTATTCAGCCCCAAGTCTGCATTCATTTGACTTAACTTCTGCCCTCAAGAGTAAGATAAAAACAAAACTGTTTATAATTCATATGCCAATCCAGATATTCAAAGACAGCCGTTATCTCCATTCCTCTTCTCCAAGTTTTGTCTTCTCCATCTAAATGTCTCAAGTCACCTTAACTATTTCTCATATGGAATGGTTTCAGACCCCTCACCATTCCAGTCACCACCTTCCACACATTTTCTATTTTATGCAGAGTAACTCCCTGAACAAATGCCAGCTGAAGCCTCCTCACTTGCAGAGCACAGTTGAACAATCACCTCCCTATAGGAAATTATCACTGTTCTCTGCACACCATAGCTTTATTAATGTAAACTAGAATTACATGAGTTTCATATCAAATGATCGTTAGGGTTATTGTCAGCTAAAACCACCATCTTTTTTTATCTGACGCACTTTCGTATAGCTTAAAGAAATCAGTGGATTTCAAAGTAGGCCCAAAAATTATTAAAAGACCAAATTCTGCCTTTCCCGTTATTAATAATAGAAAGAACCATTTAAAAGAACAGGGCCTCAGCAAAACTTACGGTTGACAGACTAAGATAATCAAACCCTAAGATGATTGAACTCAAGGGTGAAATGTGTATTTGCACTCATGTGCCAACACCTAGGCCTTTGTAACCTCTTCTTCCGACACTATCTATGGCATGGAAGGGCATTTCTTGGAAGCTATGCCTGCTTTTGTCTCCCTTGCTCTACCTTTTTCTTTCTGTAGCTTGCCACATGCTTCTGAGACAGTCTTCCTCCAGCCCATTGGAAACCCACTGGTAGTTTTCTTTTGTGTCTTTGACAGGTCACCTGAAGGAAGAAATTGCCCAGCGGCATATACAGCAGGTAGCTCTAGGTAGGTACAAAGGAGGGGAAGAAGATGAAGGTAATATAAACTGACCTGATTTTGGGACTCCAAACCCAGCTAAAAGCCCATTTAAAACACTATCTGAGGTTAAAGACAGCAAGGGTTGCCATCCACACACACCTTTCCTTGGATGTTCCCCCTCTATGGGACGTGTTTCCCCAGCCTGTGTTCTTGTACCTGGCCATCAGCACCTGGTACCCTACCCTTCCATCTGTTGCCTCATCCCCCTCACCTTTCCCACCCTGTATCTCCAACCTAAATTTATCCCCTGTGTCCCAGCTCCTCAGGGTCCTATCTGAACTTTTCAGAGCCACTACTAACTAATCCTAACAGAAATAGTTAATGATTAATGATGAAAAGAGTATTTGTTTACAGACTCCTGTCTGTTGCACAACCTCATATGCAGGCTCCTTTCATCCACAGTGTCAAAGAGGTAAGTGCATTTACCAGACGGGGGAGATTCAGTGCCTTCCCAAGGTCATGTAGCCAGTAAGTGTTGAAACAAGGATTTGAACCCAGTTCTGTCTCAGTCCAAGCTTGGTGCTCTTAGCTCTCATGCTGTTTACTGCCCACTGCAATGATCAGCCCACTTCGATGCATGAAGAATGCAAACACTAAACCAGGACAGTCATATTCTAAGTGGCCCTTGGCACCTTTTAAGCAGTGGACATCTGCAGAAAACACCCTTTTTTGATATGTGACCCAATGAAGTCACCTGGGAGAAGAGTGTACCTCACAGAGGACTGGTAACCACCAGTTCCTGGGCAGAACTACCTTGTTGCCTCTCCAGCTAGCTGGGACCAACAATTTGTGGAAAGCTTGGATTAAATAAGAAATTCAGAGGCCAGACACAGTGGCTCATGCATGTAATCCCATCACTTTGGGAGGCCGAGGCAGGTGGATCACGAGGTCAAGAGATGGACACCATCCTGGCCAATATAGTAAAATCCCATCCCGACAAAAATTAGCTGGGCATGGTGGTGCGTGCCTGTAGTCCCAGCTACATGGGAGACTGAGCCAGAAGAATCGCTTGAACCTGGGAGGCAGAGGTTGTAGTGAGCCAAGATCATGCCATTTCACTCCAACCTGGAGACAGAGTGAGACTCCATCTCAAAAAAAAAAAAAAAAGAAAGAAAGAAAGAGAGAGAGAGAGAGAGAGAGAGAGAGAAAGAAAGAAAGAAAGAGAAAGAAAGAAAGAAAGAAAGAAGAAAGAAAGAAAGAAAGAAAGAAAGAAAGAAAGAAAGAAAGAAAGAAAGAAAGAAAGAAAGAGGAAAGAAAGGAAAGAAAGAAAGAAAGAAATTCACATATTCCAGACCAAAAAGAAATGTTCCCCTTGAGACTTGAGATGACGTGAGCCCTCAATGACCTGTAATCGGAGAAATCCAGCACACAGGCCAATGGTGGGGAAATGGGGGAGAGCCCCTAAAGTCATGACAATGGCTCATTTGACCTTGTAACTTGTATTATTATGAAAGTTGGTTGTTTAGTTTCAGTAGTAATAATGATGATATAGAATAACTACTGGTTACATAAGAAACATAGGACAAGGGCACCTAAGCCATAGCGACTAGAGCTCTGAGCTTCCCACTCTTGGCCCTGGGACTCAGGGGTCAGGTACACTGCCCTCCCAGTTCCAGAGACTTGAGCACAAACTTAGAATTGAGATTCTGCAAAGTGTCTTCAGCAAAGAACCAGGGTGACCCAGGGTCCTAACTCCTTGGGCCAGGCTTGGGAAGGCAAAATGACCTCTGCTGGAAAACTGTACCAAGGTGACCTTATGGGCCTCTGTATCCTGCTTCATGCTCACCTTGGGCAGGTTCCTGAATGTGAAGTCATCCCCAAGAGCTGCCACTTGGCCCTGAAACATCTGTCCTCTTCTTCAGCCTTCATGTTTCTGGTTCCATAGAAACAACAATCTGGGAAGTCCTAGCCAGGGCAATGAGGCCAGAGAAAGAAATAAAAGGCATCCAAACAGGAAAAGAAAAGTCAAATTATCTCTCTTTGCTGCTATGACTGTATACCTAGAAAACCCTAAGCCAAAAGACTCCAAGACCTGGTAAACTACTTCAGCAAAGTCTCAGGATACAAAATGAATGTACAAAAATCAGTAGCATTTCCATAAACCAAAAACTTTCATGCTGAAAATCAAGAATGCAATCCCATTTACAATAGCCACAAAAAATAAAAATACCTAGGAATTCACCTAATGACAAAGATGAAAGATCTCTATGAGGAGACCTACAAAACACTGCTGAAAGAAATCATAGGTAACACAAACAAATGGAAAAGTATTCCATGCTCATGAATTGGAAGAATCAATATTGTTAAAATGTCCTAAACAATCTATAGATTCAATGCTATTTCTATCAAATTACCAATGTCATTTTTCACAGAATTAGAAAAAAATCACTGTTCTAAAATTCATATGGAACCATAAAAAAGCCTAAATAACCAAGGCCATCCTAAGCAAATAGAACAAAGGTGGAGGTATCACATTACCCAATTTCAAACTAAACTACAAGTCTCCACTAAACAAAACACTATGATATTAGTACACAACCAGACATATAGACCAATGGAACAGGACAAAGACTCCTGAAATAAAGCTACACCCCTACAACCAACTGATCTCCAACAAAGTCAACAAAATAAACAATGAGAAAAGAACATCCTATTCAATAAATGGCTAACCTGTCGAAGAAGAATGAAACTAGACCCCTACCTCCAACCATATACAAAAATTAATGCAAGATGGATTAAAGACTTAAATGTAAGACTTCAATCTGTTAAAATTCTAGAAAAAAACCTAGGAAATACTTTCTAGACGTTGGTCTAGGCAACGAATCCATGATAAGGACCACAAAAGCAAATGCAACAAAATCAAACATAGGACAAATGGTACCTAATTAAACTAAAGAGCTTCTGCACAGCAAAAGAAACTCTCAACAGAGTAAATAGACAACTTACAGGATGGGAGAAAATATTTTCAAACTATGCATCCAATGAAGGATTAATATCGAGAATCTATCAGGAACTTAAATGAATCAATAAGAAAAAAAAAAACCCCTATTAAAAACTGGGCAAAGACAGGAACAGACACTTCTCAAAAGGAGATATACAAGTGGCCAAAAAACATATGAAACAATGTTTAACATCATTAATCATCAGAAAGATGCAAAGCGAAATCACAGTGAGATACCATCTCACACCAATCAGAATGGCTATTGCTAAAAAGCCAAAAAATAACAGATGTTGGCCAGGTTGCAGAGAAAAGGGAACATTTGTAAACTGATGGTGGGAATGCAAATTGGCTCACCCCCTCTGGAAAGCAGTTTGGTGATTTCTCAAAGAACTAATAATAGAACTACAATTCAACCCAGCAATCCCATTACTGGGTATATACCAAAGGAAAAATAAATCATTCTACCAAAAAGCACATGCACTCAAACATATGTTCATTGCAGCGCTATTTACAATAGCAAAGACATGGAATCAATCTAGGTGCCCATCAGTGGTGAGCTAGATGAAGAAAATGTGGTACACACCATGGAACACTACACAGCCAAAAAAAGAACAAAATCACATCCTTTGCAGCAACATGAATACAGCTGTAGGCTATTATCCTAAGTGAATTAACTCAGGAACAGAAAACCAAATACCTCATGTTCTCACTTATAAGTGGAAGCTAAATCTTGAGTTCACACAGACAGAAAGATGGAGACAACAAACGCCAGAGACTCCAAAGGAGGGAGGGAGGGAACAGAGCAAGGGCTGAAAAACTTCTGTTAGTTTCTGTGTTCACTACCTTGGTGATGAGATCAATACAAGCCCAAACCTCAGCATCATGCAACATACCTGCACATGTACTCCCGAATCTAAAATCTGAAAATGAAAATTTAAAAATAAAGAAACAATGATGTGAAAAATACCACTCAACTCTAGGGGCAATTTTCATCTTGGGCATGGGAAGCCATTTCCATGGCTTTGTGGGCAAGAGATCTTCCATCCTTTCTGCTGTCCAGCCCCCACCCCCTCTGAGGGATGGTCCTTCTAGCTGGGGCAGACACTCCCTAGGCCTGTGGAAAACTGCTGCATTGTTTTCAATCACAGGCTTGTGCCTTAATTCCTCTGCTCATCTCTCTGGGAGTCTTCTGAATTACAGCAGGTGTCAGGTTCAGCAGCGCCCAGCTTTGCCTGAAGTAATCAGCAAACTTCAAATGGAAAGCACTTTGGCTGGAAGTCTAATTAAGAGTATTTGAAATACCTATTTATTTTAAAAGCATACTATCCCAATTAGAGAAGAAGTGTTAACATCTCCCAGCTGCCATTCTGAGATGAAATGCCATGTTGCCGTCCAAACTCCTTTGGAGGTTGTCTGATGGAGATTTGGAACTGCCAGTGCTCATGTGTCCCAGGTGACCACATTTCAGATGGGAATCCTCCTCGTTGAGAGAAACCTCTCAAGGCAGCAGATTGTTTATAGAACCTTAACCCTTGCCCTTTGTCCTAGCAGTTGGGCTGAAGGCTAAGACAGAGGGCTCTGGTAGGAATAAAGGCAGCCTACTGGGTATATTTGGATTCCCTGATGTTTTGTAATTCAGGCCTCAGATGTAGGAGTAAAGACGTGACTCAGTGGTACGCCCCCTTTCATTTCTGTCTTTTTTGTGTGTCTTGTACAACCTTTATCCTTTTCATTCTGTTCCCTTTGTCTGCTTCTCTTCACTTTCTCTTTTTCTCCATTCTCAGTATTTCCTCTGTTATTGTTTCTTTCTTTTGTCTACATGTTCCTACATTTTCATGAAAGTGTGGGTGTGATTGGCTTGGGTTTGTTGTGGGGAAGGATGATGAGCAAGTTGGATCAGGAGAGTTTTTCTTATATGTTTTGCATAAGAATATGTCTCTGGATGTATAAGTATATGTGTGCCCAGGGAAATTTCTATAAAGGCAATCCCATATCCCAAAGGAACAAAGATTCAGTGGTGAAGTAA